TCCATCCATCCATCCATCCATCCACCATCAATCCATCCATCCATCCATCCATCCACCATCAATCCATCCATCCATCCATCCATCCATCATTCCATCCAACTCTACATCCATCCATCCATCCATCCACCATCACTCCATCCATCCATCCATCCATCCATCCACCATCCATCCATCCATCCATCCACCATCCATCCATCCATCCGTCCACCATCCACCATCAATCATCCATCCATCCATCTCTCCATCCATCCATCCATCCATCCATCCATCCACCATCACTCCATCCATCCATCCAACTCTCCATCCATCCATCCAACTCTACATCCATCCATCCATCCATCCATCCAACTCTACATCCATCCATCCATTCATCCACCATCACTCCATCCATCCATCCATCCATCCATCCACCATCACTCCATCCATCCACCATCCATCCATCCATCCATCCGTCCATCCGTCCACCATCAATCATCCATCCGTCCACCATCAATCATCCATCCATCTCTCCATCCATCCATCATCCATCCATCCATCCATCCATCCATCCATCCATCCATCCATCAGCAATAGATGAGGATGACCCTCAGCTACCACCACACTAAACTTCAGTTAAACATGTGTAAAACCTGTCAAAGTGTAACCGTGTGGTTGTAAAGCGGTGTGTGAGTCTTTCTTGCTCTGATCTCCAGGAACTAAAGGGTTAAAGGTCAAACCGCTCAGTGAGCCTACCTGCTTTGGTCCAGCGGATTGTGGGGCTCTCTCTGCCTTTAGCGGAGCACTGGATGGTGATCTCCTTATCCAGCTCCAGGCACTGAGAAGGCTGGGGGGTCGGGGTGAACTTCAGCTTCTCTGAAACACACACACACACACAAACACACACATTAGACACACGATTAACACAAACAGGGCACACACACACACACACACGATTAACACAAACAGGGGGGGTGGGGGTGCAAGTCAAAGCCTCTTTTGTGCAACTGGCCCTACAGATGGAATGACACTAAGCTGCTCCGGACCGTGTTCACGCGGCGGCGACACGAGTCCAGCGATCTGATGAGGACTGAGCTCTGGTCAGATAAACACACAACAACACGACGTGTAGGAGCCACGGCAGCTGGAGGGAACCCGTCACAGAGGAGTGTGGGCTGAACCAGGTCTGCTGTGCTACACCTGGGTGGGTGTCCCGCAGGAAGCCCACATAAACAAAACAAGACCCCTGTTTCAGGAAGCACTCAGACCTCCAGACGTGACTGTGTCAGTTTCCTCGCAGTATCTGTCGGTCTTTAAATAGAAGCTGAGTACAGSAAGGAAGTGATCGGCACACTGATCCCCCCGCAGCTCACCCAGCACGACGACTCTGGCGGTGCCGGACAGCCGACCGCCCACCGTCTTGGTTTCGCAGCTGTACATGTGAGAGTCGTACACCTCCACGTTGTTGATCCTCAGGGTGCCGTTGGGGAACGTCTTGAAACGAGAGTCCTGCAGGAGAGAAACGAAGACGATGATGTCATCAGAAGAAGCGTCGACAGCGAGGAAGAGTAAGAGAGCAGATCAAACCTCAGGCGAGATCATCATGTTGTTGCGGTACCACACGACTTCAGGCTGGGGGTTGGCCTGAGCGTTACAGTGAAGGTAACCTGGTTTGCCCTCTTCTAGGTTGCTGTCCTGAGGTTTTATCACCCACACCGGGGCAGCTGGGGACACAGGTGAAAAACACAGGTAAGGTGCCAAGGATGGACAAGTCAGATTACAGGGTARCTGTAGGATTAAGACCTTTTAATGCCACATTGAAAGAAAAAAAATGCTTTCAGGAAATGCATTGCGTAGAGGGAAAACTGTAATCCCTCCTTCCTGCCAAGATTTAAGATCTTTGATAAATGCAATAAAGATCTACTTAAACATTTTTTAACAAATTTCAGATTTTTTAGATCTTGATTTTAGATACATGAATTTAAGACTTTAAGACTTAAGGTCCTAATTTTACATGCATGAATTTAAGACTTTTTAAGTTCGTAATTTTAGATACATAAATTTAAGACTTAAGGTCTTAATTTCAGATGCATGAATTTAAGACTTTTTGAGACTTAAGGTCTTCATTTTAGATGCATAAATTAAAGACTTAAGACAGTCCTAATTTTACATGCATTAATTTAAGACTTTTTAAGACTTAAGGTCTTAATTTTACATGTATTAATTTAAGACTTTTTAAGACTTAAAGTCCTAATTTTACATGCATTAATTTAAGACTTTTTAAGACTTAACGTCCTAATTTTACATGCATGAATTTAAGACTTTTTAAGACTTAAGTTCTTAATTTTACATGTATTAATTTAAGACTTTTTAAGACTTAAAGTCCTAATTTTACATGCATTAATTTAAGACTCTTTAAGACTTAACGTCCTAATTTCACATGCATTAATTTAAGACTTTTTAAGACTTAAGTTCTTAATTTTACATGTATTAATTTAAGACTTTTTAAGACTTAAG